CTCGATTGCCAAGTCTTGCTAGCTAATGTTGCAGATATTAAGGATATTCTGAGCCAATATGATAATATGGGGATATAATTGTGCTATCTGGAAATAGCTTTGTAATCTGAGGGTTGATCATTTATTTGTATGCCTTTGTTTCTTCCAACAGGGACCAGTGATAAAAGAGGACAGAGTCCTGAACCTTTAATAACTATGAAAAAAGAGGCTTTTCATCAGGTATTTGCTATGCATGCTGTGCTTCCTGAAATTATCTTTAGAAACTTTTAATACAATACACCTGGCTCTCCTTTGCATTTGATCACTTTATTAGGTGGCTCTTTTAACACATGTTTTAGAGTTAACACATCCACATACCACAATGACTTAATGCTGGACATTTCTCAGACAAATCATTTTTAAAAATTCTTATTACCAACGGAACCAATGCACTTGTTTATATTTGTTGACATAGGGCTTTCAAAAGTGGGCTCTATATTAGTTTGTCTTAATTTCCAAAATCCATATTAATTTCATGCTATAAGAGCTATGAATTTAAGATCTGAGATGCAGCTTCTATCGTCTTAGCCTTATAGGATTTATAGCTTTTCTGGAGTAACCAGGAAAGGGTGAGAGAGAGAGCATATAGAGAGAATTATGTTATTAACAGTGTTTGAACTTCAGTATGTCAACTAGCGTGTCCGTCATGGTGTAGACAATTGATCCACAGAGATTTAACCCAAAGCACTTTTGCTTGGCCCATTAAGCTGGAAGCTGCTATAGAGTCATCTGAGAATTGAGTTGGCTTTAAATTATTATCATTCATACTAGAAGGCCGGCTCATCCCAATTTAGGTAAAGGAAAGTGGAATAGTCTCTTTTGGACTGGAGAGGAAATAATGTACTTCTCCTATAAAGGTAAAAGGTAAAGGACCCTTGAAGGGTTAAGTCCAGTCAAAGGCAACTATGGGCTGTGGTGCTCATCTTGCTTCAGACCGGGGAGCCGGCGTTTGTCCAGAGACAGCTTTCCTGGTCATGTGGCCAGCATGACTAAACTGCTTCTGGTGCAATGGGACACCAGAATGGGATGCCAGAGCGCATGGAAATGCGTACCTATTTATCTACTTGCACCGGTGTGCTTTTGAACTGCTAGGCTGGCAGGAGCTAGGACAGAACAATGGGAGCTCACCCCGTCACATGGATTTGAACCGCCAACCTTCCAATCAGCAAGCCCAAGAGGCTCATTGGTTTAGACCACAGCGCCACCCACTCTCCTCCTATAGGACCATAGAAGAAAGAGGAATAGAGATGAACTCCAAATCAACCATTGTTGCAGGTTTAGTTTGTTACAAAGACAATTTTGCCTAGCCAGTGGCTCACTAGGAAAAGTATTGTTATGAGTTTGGGAGAAGGCAAATTCCCCCAAATTCTTAGATTTAGTAAATGTTAGGATTAAATCAATGCTTGGAGTATTGAAGAAAGCTGCCAGATGCTGAATTTAGTAGTGTCAAAAAGACAGGCAAATTTGGTGGGGCTATAGCCTTTAGAGAATGGTGTCACTGTAATATTATAGCCACTGTACTTTGGTTCTGATCATGAATGCCCCTCCAACTAGTGGCTGCTATTTACAATTTTTTAAAAGATACACACAATGTCAAACCATACCTTTAATGCCATGTGTAGTTTGGTCCTCAGTGTGACACAGAATAAGATCAGGGCTCTTTTTCAGCCAGAACTCACCCGAACTCAGTTCTGGCACCTCTCTGGTAGGCACAATTGCCATTAAAAGAGAACAAGGGAGGTGTTCATGGTGAATTCTGGCACCTCTTTTTCTAGAAAAATAGCACTGGATAGGATCATGCTTTCTTTTTATTATTGTTAAGATCCTTTTGCTTGGAAAGTTTCAGAGTGCCCATCTCTCTCTTTCAAAATGGGCTGGCAGTATCTTAACCACTGAGGTGAAATCCCCTCAGTTTTCAGACACAAAGGGGTGCCTTAGACCATGCCTTGCAACAAATGACAGGATTGTGTTTATTGTATTCTATTATTACATTTATATCCCATCTTTCCTCCAAGGAGTTCAAGGTCACATTGGTAGTTCCCCCCTTCCCCATTTTATCCTCATTGCAACCCTGTGAGGTAGGTTGGACTGAAAGACAGTAACTGACCCAAAGTCAACCAGTGAACTTCGTGGCAGAGCAGGGATTTTCCCCTGGTTTCCCAGGTCCTAGTCCAACATTCTAACCACTATACCACACTTGTTCTTGGTGTGAAAATCTAGACCACATTGTGAAATAACCTGTTTCATTCTTCCCATTAGTGAGAGAGTTCCAGAAATCTTTAGATAGCGCTTTAAAAAAACAACAACCCTCTTCTTTTTTCCCTGCAATGATTTCATTTGACACTTCCATCAAGTCAGATACTTTTATGCAAAACTCATACTGTGCAATTCATATTTTAATAGTACATATCAACTCAGAAGGAAGTGCCATTTTGCTTCCATGGAACTTACTCCTAGGGAAGTGAATTTAGTATCGCAGTCTATACCCACTTATCTGAAATTGAGCCCCATTGAACTAAATCAAACTTACTTTTGAGTAGGCCTGTATATGATTGTGCTTTCAGGGAAATAGTTTAAAATGCATTTGAAATTTCTTTGCATTTTTATTTTTTTTTGGAAAACAAATACATTTTTAATTAATGTATAGCTGGAAATGCTTAAAATATACGATAATTTCCATCCTCAAAGCTTTACTGTCAGACACTATGTTAAGCCACCATTAATCATAAGTGGCTACAGTCATGTGGTCATTGTAATTTGGTCATGCTGTACAAAAGATAAATGATATGGAATACTATTAGCAATGATGGTTTTAATGTAGACATTTATCATTATACGAGTTTGTTTGATATGACTTTGGGATAAAATCAGGGAGAAACTGCCTAGCTGTTAATTTTTTTATGCCTTTAATGATCATTTGCATACTTAAAAAATGGAAATAAAAGAGTGCTAGTGTTTTCTGGTCCCCTTTCTCCCCCAATGTTCAATGACAGAATTACAGCTGACTCTCAAGGACCCAAATACAGAATAGATAGAAAAGTAATGATGACTAGTTGTAAGCTGGTGCCAATTTTTTTCCTATGAAAGTGCTGGGGAATTTTTGGAAGGGGGGAGCAATTTTTTATTTTATTTTTTGCATTCTTAAAAACAACAACACCTTGCTAAGCTTTTTTACACACTGATTGTCATTTGGTCATACTTGCTCCTTTCCCCGACCTGTATTTTTGTGCCATTAAAATAGAAAGATCAAGAGTATCTTATAAATCCAGCCAATCAGGGTTCATGTAGAAGGGAGATGCTGATGTCACATCACCATGCAACCAGTCTGATTTGGATACATGGTGACATTATGAAGCGAAAGTAGAGTGAGGTCAGTGCTACCAGTCCACAATTTGAATGGTCACGTAAGTGGAAAAATTGGGAGGTGTATTTCAAGGTGCTAAATGTTTCATGAAATTCACTCTCAGTTTCACTTCAGCTCTAATCAGTTGTCATATATTTGACATTAATAATAGAAGCCAAGTTTTTGCAAGCTTTCTATTTATAGGACTCATAAGGCTTATTCGACTCCTGAGAACAGTTAAATTGCTGTCAGGAGAAATGCAATGAGGGATCCACACAAAGAGAACCATTCCTCCACCTCTTCTCATAACAGTCTTTCAAATATAGATTCATGACACATCCGTATGTCTTCCCTGTTCAACTTTGTCAAAAGGTATAATGGAATAACAAATGCTGTGCAGCTTTCTGAGGCAAGAAAAAAAGACAAAAGAAAGCTGTTGCAATCCTGCCTCTGTTGGTCTCCCTTCATATGCTGAACTCTTAATAGCCATCCCGTGGCGCAATGGATCAGTATGCCTGGGTGTTAACCAGAAGGTTGGCGGTTTGAGCCCCACCCAGGGATGGCTGTGGGCAAGATTCTTGCATTGCAGACGCTGAACGAGATTATCCTTGAGGTCCCTTCCAATTCTGTGGTTCTGTGATTCTATAAACCTCATTTTGATAAATGTACACAGTGCTTTTTTCTGGGGGGATGCAGGGGTATGCATACCCCTAAGCATTTTGTGAATCTAACGGGAGAAGAAACTTTTTTTAAAAAAACAATTTTTAGTTTCTTCTCTAGCATGGTGAATCATCAGTTCCATTGCTACCCCCAATGGCAGCCTCATTTCCTGTCACGGTGTTTCCTGAGTCTCAGACAGAAGTGAGCGTTTAATGTGTGGAGTAGGAATCTAGCACGGTGATTGGTCAGTTTTGTTGTTACCACCTCCGATGGTGGCTTCATTTCCTTTCCTGGTGCAATGCATGTTCTTTGTACTTTTGTCCATTTACTGTATCTATTTTCCCTGATTTGAACTATAAAATGGTAATTTTCTTGAGTCAAAATGAGAGTACCTGTCAGGGGTTCAGGAGCAGAGGCACAGGAAAGGGAGGAAATAGAGAGCGAGGGGGAGGAGTCCGAAGGAAATGTTAGCGATGACAGCGGTCCGAGGTCTCTGAGTCTTTCCAGCGAATCGGAAGATTCACAGAAAGGGGCTCCCTTGGTCAGAGCAAGGGGGGTGCCGAGGGGGACCCCCCAGGACGAAGGGGCCAGAGGGGACTCAGAGAGCCGCGGTTGGAAGTCAGGACCCGCGTCCACGCCAGCGGGCAGGCGGGGGGGGAGTCCCAGGCCGCGGGCTCAGGCGGCGCACTGCCAGTGGGAGGACATGAGTCAGGATTGGCCACGCCTCCATCGGGGAGCGAGGAAACGGTCGAGAGGAAGGTTGAAGGCTGGGCGCGCGCGCCAAGTTCAAATGTACAGGAGGGCGGCGCAGTTGGCAGCCCGGATAGGGAGCCAGGTCCCAAAGCCCGCCGAAAAGAGGGGGAGGAGTCAGGGCGGTCAGCGTCAGAAGAATCCAGGAAGGAAGGGACCCCGGGGGGTAGCAGGACCCAGAGGAGAAAGGAGAGACGTAAGAGGTGGAGTAAGGCTAGAATCTTAAACTGGTGTACAGGGGCGGAGACTCAGATGGAGCTTCGCCGATCTAACCCCTAGACGTAGAGCTGGGGCGCTCCGGCTTGAAAATGGAAACTGTACTTCAATAAAGACTTTTGTACATTACTGCCGGCTAGCGTTGGTCCTCTGTGAGCTGGGACCTGGAGCCAGCTCTGACAGTAAGCTCCATCTCCAAAAGTTTTGCACCAAAAACCTCGTAACGTGAGTGGACGCAGCGAGGGAAGAAGATTGGTGCTTCGCGAGCTCACAAAAGTCAGGCAAGATGACTACAGAACAGCAACTAGCAGCCCTGCAAAATGCAGTGACACAACTCAACGCGGAGGTACTCGCATCCAGGAAAAGGGAAGAGGAAGCGGCTGCCGCCTGCAGGGATCTCCAAGCCAGGTTGGAAGTGCTTGCTAAGCAGGGGCAACCGGGACCCAAATCAGAGGGGATTGGGCTGGGGAAAAGAGGAGGCAGCCTGGTATCTCATTTCGATGGGAATTTGCAGCAGTACCCTAACTTCCGAGCAGACGTGCTGTTTGCGCTGGAACTGCTGGATAAAGACTTTAGAGATGAGCAAGAGAAGGTGGGGTTTATCTTGTCCCATTTGCATGGGGAAGCTAAAGCGTGGCTGCGCAATCTGTGGAGAGATAAGGATCCGGCGCTCCAAAATGCGGATGCATTCATTAAAGCGATGGATTCGTGTTTTTTATCAAATATAGACATTGATATCGCCAGAAAAGACATACATGGGCTCAAACAAGGCAGAGCCAGTGTAAGGCAGTACCATTCCCGCTTTTTTGCATTAGTCCATGCGCTGGGATGGGAGAAGGATTCTGCCCCAGCCAGAGACCTTTTTTGGGAAGGCTTGAATGCAAATGTGAAAGATGAGATTGCAAGGGGGGAGAGACCAAAGAGCACTCAGGAGGTTGTCCGGCGGGCGCTGCAAATTGGGGTGCGTCTGGAAGAACGTCCATGGAACAGAGAAGAAGGACGTTGGGGACGTACGCCAGTGAGAGCACCTCCCTCTTTCCCAAGGATGCAGCGCGTGTGCAATCCCCACCTCCGCAAGGAGGGGGAGAGCAACCGATGGAGATTGGAGGCGCCAGGGCTCAGTCAGCAACCAGAGCCTTAACACCGGGAGCAGTCAAAGCGAAGCCTCCTAGAGGGAACAGGAAGTGCTACATCTGCGACAGTGCTCAGCACATGGCGAAAGAGTGTCCCCAGAGGCTCCACAAGCACACTGCAGCCTCAGCAACAGTAACAGAAGCAACTCAGCAGAGAGAACCACAGCAGGGAAACGACAGAGTCTGGTTGGAGGAAGAGGCACTGGGGCCCAACCAGACAAGTCAATGAAGCCGTCCCCAGAGATTTTGCAGCCCACAGACCCCTCCCGCCCAAACCAGTGGTGCAGCTCACAGCATCGCTCCAACTACCCAATGGACTCACTATGGAAGTGCCGATTACCATTGACTCTGGTAGTAACGCAGACTTCATAGGACTGGATTTCCTTCAAGAGCACAACATAGCACTCCTGCCAGCCACGCTGCCTCTGAAAGTTGTCACGGTGGATGGCAGGGAATTGCTGGGGGCAGGTGGTGCAGCAAACGCCTCCGATGGTGATGCAAATTGGGAATCACCGAGAAGTCATCAGCTTCAATGTCACCCAACTGTCGGACACGCCTATAGTATTAGGCATGAGTTGGCTGCACAGGCACAGCCCAGCATTGGCGTGGTACCAGCGACAACTGACCTTCGGCTCCTCATACTGTGCGGAACATTGCATTCTGCCTAGCCCGGAAGGGGAAGAGGATGACCCGCAGCTACAATTAGGCACGCTGCAAGCAGTGCCACTCAAGTACGCAGCGTTTTTGGAGGTTTTCTGCGAGAAGGAAGCGGACAAGCTACCTCCCCACAGGTCTTATGACTGCAAGATTGACCTCCTGCCAGGGGCGACGCTGCCAACCGGGAAACTGTATTCCATGTCTGAAGACGAGCTGCAGGAACTCAGGGAGTTCATAGACCTCAACTTGAAGCGCGGTTTCATCCAGGAGTCGAAGGCAGTGGGGGCAGTCCTGTATTCTTTGTGAAGAAGAAGGACACGCCCCAAAAAGGCTTGTGGTGGACTATAGAATTTTGAACTCGAAAACCAAGCCCACAGCCTTTCCCATGCCCAAGATAGATGACCTGCTCGCAACGGTGAGGAAAGGACGCGTTTTCACAAAGTTGGATCTGCGAGGGGCGTACAACCTGATTCGCATACGGGAGGGCGACGAATGGAAGACTGCCATGTTCACGCCCCTGGGCACCTATGAATACAGAGTTATGCCCTTTGGATTACAAAATGGCTCCCACTGTTTTCAAGCCTTCATGCATCACGTATTGGCGGGTCTCCTCTACAAGAAATGCGTCTGCTTCCTGGACGACATCCTGATATTTTCAGAATCAGAGGAGACCCACGAGGGAGACGTCAAGGAAGTTCTGCAGAGACTGCAGGAGCACAGGCTGTACGCCAAGCTGGAGAAGTGCCAGTTCGACATGAAGGAGGTAGATTTCCTGGGCTACAAGTTGTCGGACAAGGGGCTCGCCATGGACAGCGCCAAGGTTCGCTCAGTGTTGGACTGGAAGAGCCCGCGCAATCGGAAGGAGGTCCAGCGGTTTGTCGGTTTCGCCAACTTTTACCGCAAGTTCATCAAGGGGTTCGCGATGCAGACGGCGGCCATTACCGACACGCTCAGCTCCAAGAAGAAGAAGTTCATCTGGACGGAGCAAGCGGAGCAGTCCTTTCAGAAACTCAAGCGTCTCTTCTCGTCCGAAGAGCAGCTACTGCATGTGAATCCCAGCAGACCGATGAGGGTTGAAACGGACGCCTCAGACAGAGCCGTGGGAGCAGTACTGTTGCAGCAAGACCCGCATGGGGACTGGAGACCGTGTGCCTTCTACTCCAGGAAGCTCAGCAAGTCAGAGCAGAACTACACCATCTGGGACAGGGAGTTGCTGGCCATTCATGCAGCATTCAAGGCGTGGCGGCACTTCCTCATTGGAGCCAAACACACAGTGCAGGTCCGCACGGACCATAAAAACCTGGAGTACTGGCGCACGGCAAGGTTCCTGAACCAGAGGCACATACGATGGGCGGAGTTCTTTGCGGATTTCGACTTCAGGATAGAGTACATCCCAGGCGACAACAACATCATGGCGGATGCACTGTCCAGAAAGCCGCAATACCTCGAGGAGGCGGCACCAGCAGCGGCCAAGCACATTTTCGCACCGAAAGCGTGGGCGTGCGCTTCAGCAACCGTGGACCTGGATGCTGTACGTCGAGCACTGCAGGAGGACCCCTTCGCGCAAGCAAAGATGGCAGAGGTGCAAAGGGGCACGGCGGAGGACGACGAGTTCCAGATACGCGACGGATTGCTCATCCGCAGAGGGGCCCTCTACGTACCGGGAGACGACCTCCGCGCGAAAGTACTGCAGCAGTTGCACGACGCACCCACCGCCGGGCACTTTGGCAAAGAGAAGACGGTAGAATTAGTAGCCAGAGATTTTTGGTGGCCCAAGATGCGGGAGGAAGTCGCGGATTACGTCTCGAGGTGCGACACCTGCCAAAGGGCCAAGTCAGTGCACAAACCGCCGGCGGGACTGCTCGAACCGCTGCAGACACCGCTCGAACCGTGGGAGAGGGTGGCCCTGGACTTTGTCACGGATCTACCCAGCTCGAGGGGCAAGACGGCAGTGCTAGTGGTGGTGGACATGTTCACCAAAATGGCCCACTTCATTCCGTGCGCGAAGGTGGCCACGGCGGAACAGACCGCCAAACTGTTCATAGACCACGTGTTCAGGGTTCACGGTCTGCCACGGTCTATCCTGTCCGACCGGGGGCGACAGTTCATCTCGAACTTCTGGCAGAAGCTGATGGGTTTCCTGAACGTCAAGATCAACCTAGCGTCGGCGAGACACCCGCAGACGAACGGACAAGCGGAGCGAGTCAACGCCATCATGCAGCAGTACCTGCGATGCTACGCAAATCAGCAGCCGGCAACATGGGTGGACTACCTGCCGCTCGCTGAGTTCGCCTACAACAACACGAAGCACGTGTCCACGGGGGTGACACCGTTCTTCGCCAACAACGGGAGGCATCCCAGAACCTTCCCGGGATTAGCGAGAGCGGGGGAGGGGGAGCCACAGGCAGCGGAAGCCTTAGCATCAGAGTTGCAGGAGGTTCACGAACAGCTTCGGAGGCAGTTAGAACTAGCAAAGCACGCATACAAACTGCAGGCTGACAAGCACAGAAGGGTTGGGGAAGACATACAGGTGGGAGACTGGGTTTGGTTAGCAGCCCAGGCAGTGCCGGCCAGATCGTTAGCGAAGAAGAAGCTAGGGCATAAGCAGCTAGGACCCTACCAAGTCGAGGCACAGGTCAATCCAGTGGCCTTCCGGTTGACACTGCCGGAGGGATCCAGAATGCACCCAGTTTTCCATAGATCAGTGCTCACGCCCTACAAAGCACCTCATAGATTTCAGGAGCCAGGAACGGCACCAGACCCGTTCAGGGAAACGCCCACAAGGGGGGGGTCGCCAAGGCGGGAACCCGTCAACGAAGTCACAGAGATTTTAGACTCGAGATGGGGGGAAGAGGGAGTAGAATATCTTCTCGCCAGAGAAGGTACCCCGGCCAGCGCCAACAGTTGGGTGCCAGACCATGCCTTGGACGAACCTTTCTCAAGGACGAGTTTCATGCCCTTTTCCCACACAGGCCCATGCCAGCCGAGTATTTCGACGACTGGCTTTTCACACCCACATTTTCAGCTAGCACATTCCAGGGGTTCACCTCGGACGAGGAACCGGCACTAGAAACACGTTCCCGGAGGGATCCCCCTCGGGGGTCTGCCTCAGACCGTTCCTATTGGTGGGACAATCAACCAGAGGAGCAGTGGCGCAGGAAGTGGTTGGGGGGTCCTTGGCAGGCAACGTCCCCGGAGGAGACCGGGGGGGAGACGGACATGGACGTGTTGGGGGAGGACCTTGGGTTCGAGCACGGCGGCAAAGAGATGGAAGCAGAGGAAATTGAGGTCGGCGAGAGCACGGAGGACGAGCCGGACTTATCCGGCTGGATGCACGCCACGGGGGACGAACTGTATCCGGCACTCACCCCCACAACGACGGAGCACCCAGTACCCACACCTGAAGGAGGGGAGGGGGAAGGGGGGCTTCGAGGGGGATGGATGTCAGGGGTTCAGGAGCAGAGGCACAGGAAAGGGAGGAAATAGAGAGCGAGGGGGAGGAGTCCGAAGGAAATGTTAGCGATGACAGCGGTCCGAGGTCTCTGAGTCTTTCCAGCGAATCGGAAGATTCACAGAAAGGGGCTCCCTTGGTCAGAGCAAGGGGGTGCCGAGGGGGACACCCCAGGAAGAAGGGGCCAGAGGGGACTCAGAGAGCAGCAGTTGGAAATCAGGACCAGCGTCCACACCAGAGTGCAGTAGGGGGGAGGAGTCCCAGGCATCGGGATCAGGCGGCGCACTGCCAGTGGGAGGACATGAGTCAGGATTGGCCACGCCTCCATCGGGGAGCGAGGAAACGGTCGAGAGGAAGGTTGAAGGCTGGGCGCGCGCGCCAAGTTCAAATGTACAGGAGGGCGGCGCAGTTGGCAGCCCGGATAGGGAGCCAGGTCCCAAAGCCCGCCGAAAAGAGGGGGAGGAGTCAGGGGGTCAGCGTCAGAAGAATCCAGGAAGGAAGGGACCCCGGGGGGTAGCAGGACCCAGAGGAGAAAGGAGAGACGTAAGAGGTGGAGTAAGGCTAGAATCTTAAACTGGTGTACAGGGGCGGAGACTCAGATGGAGCTTCGCCGATCTAACCCCTAGACGTAGAGCTGGGGCGCTCCGGCTTGAAAATGGAAACTGTACTTCAATAAAGACTTTTGTACATTACTGCCGGCTAGCGTTGGTCCTCTGTGAGCTGGGACCTGGAGCCAGCTCTGACAGTACCCCTAAACATTAAAAAAACCAAAACACCACATTGAATGTACATAAATGTTGCCACACTTGCTTGGGACAGATGTGTCTATATACATCTACTTCTTCATGTTTGGGGAACAAGACCATGAAAATCTTGGGGGTTGGATGGTAAGGTATTGAGCTCAAATGTGTGAGGAGAATAATAATGTGTGAGGGAAACAGTTTGTCCTTTCTTTCCCTGTTTATTCAATAGAGCTGGTCCAGAAACTAATGCACCTATCAAAATGCACAAGAACACAGCACCAGCATTTATTTAGTTTAGGTAGCCAAATGCCCTCATAAGGGACTTGAGGAGCAAAAGAGATCAGATAAGAACTTTCCACATATGGAGTTGTATTGAGAAAGTAGTATTAAAGGTAACTGAATGGTTAACTATTGGGCCTTATCCTGGGAGGGTGGAGCATAAGAAGTGATATAGCTGTCATCACAATGTTTTGCTTTTCAAAAGGAGGAAGACGTGGTAGAAAGCTGGAGAGAGATGGAGAAACAGGAAGAAGAGATATATGCACTTTTTAGTCTAAAATGGGGATGAAGGAACATTACTACTACACCTAAGCATAGTGATAATAAATAATAATAAAATTTTATTTATATTCCGCCCTCCCCAGCCAAAGCTGGGCTTAGAGCGGCTGACAACAATAAAAGTAACACAGCATTCTAAAATGAACATTCTGTTCTATTCTATTCTATTCTATTCTATTCTATTCTAGTACTCACATTAAACATCATAAAACCAGGTGAACTATTTTGAGTTTCCTGATACCTAGCTCTAAAAACCTTTCTGGTTCTGTATTTATTTTTTAAATTACTAATACTATTAGCAAGGAAGCTCTCAAAAACGAGGAAAAAAAATATAAGCTAGACCAAATGACTAATAAACACAAGTGACCAAATCACAAATTTCACTCTTGTTTGATAAGGGTCTACACGTAGGGCCATATTTCAAAAAGTAAAAACCAGGACACCCTGAAAGTTTTTGGGCTTTTTTATCTTTGTTTAGACAAACCCCAAAGTTGTTCAATTTTTCAATTGACTCCCCCTGGATGGCAATTTCACCTTTGAAATTCTGTTAATTTTCAGGAAAATCTTGACATATGGTAGCCCTAGCCGTTCTTGGTCCTGCACACAGTGGAAATGGGTAAGTAATCTCATGGGCTGACTCCAGCTCTCAAAATAACACCTGACCTCTTTCCAAGGTCCCTGTCCAATTTTAAGGAAGGTGTGGTAAAGATGTTTGCTCACAGCTCACAGGAGGAGAAGTACTCATAACGAGTCTTTTCACGTATTTTGTACAATGTTGCTTTTCTTCTTCTTTTCTAACTAACACTCTGAAAAGGCGAAAGATCACCTCTAATTTTTCATAAAGCACATTGATTCTTTTGTTATGCCACCCCACAGAAAAGAAAAGAAAAATAATTGGTGATGCAATATTTGAAAGTATGTGCTTAGATATCTGAAAACCCTCTTCTTTGTGGTAATGCTAATTATGTAGCCTGAGCATCCATGAGGACACTTGATTGTTCTGGGGTAGAGGGAAGTAGTTGCAGCAAGTGAGCAAATCTAAGATGCACAGAGTATTATCCTGAGTTACAGGTATACAGGTGTGCATATATATCATATACACACTCAGTGTGTGTCCGGGCAACTCCCCATTTACACGGGCATTGTGTTCCGAGCTAACATGCTGTAATCTCACCTCACCCCATTCCACCTCTTCCCTCTTCCAACCCATTCTGCCCCCACTCCCTTCCGATGTCGAAAATGTCATGCATGTCAGCAGTCACACACATGCCGAACACAAGCAAATGGGGAATTTCAAAGGTGAAAACAAAAGACTCTTGTTTTTGTTCAGGAGTGAAATCATTGATTTCAAGTTTAAAATGTGAGTTTTCCAAATCTCGTATCAATCAGAGCTTCCCCAATCTACTTAGCCTCAACATGGTCCGATGAACTAGTCTGAAATACCATTTTGAAAAACAAAAACAAAATGCTGAATGTAAATAGTTCACCCCTGGGAAATATGAATTTTGGACATATCATTCGAACAGTGGCATGTCAAGGGAAATGTAGAATCGAGAGATTTTTAAATCGTACACATTTCTAATTAATTATCATAAACCCCATATGGACACATGAGGTCATGATAACCAACATTCTGTGGGTCACTGGATTTAAACTGTCTCAGATGGTGTCATCTGTATAGAACTAGGCTTGGCATCTTACATCAAGGCACCATCTGCTGTAGGGGATGAGTGAGTGAAAGTTGTATTTCTTATCTGAATTTTATCTTTCTAATGATGCATGTCTGCACAGGTTCATTTCTTTGATTCTCTTTTTGAATGGCATTTTAAATTTATCATCTAGTATTGCTGTCGCTTAGTTTATTGAATCATTATAGCTATTCAGTGAAGTTTAACTCAGAGTAAACACAACTAAACGAAATGGACATGACTAAGTTAGGTCCATTAATTTCAACAGGTGGAGTAAAACTTAGTTGAATACTACACAGTATAAACACTGACAACTGGGAAACACTGGTCTGCAAGCACTCCAATCGGAGAACAGCCTTTACCAAAGGTGTCATGGGCTTTGAAGACACTTGAACTAAGGATGAAAGGGAGAAATGCGCTAAGAAGAAGGCACGCTTGGCAAACGCTCATCATGATCAACTCCCGTCTGGAAACCTATGTCCCCACTGTGGAAGGATGTGTGGATTCAGAATTGGCCTCCACAGTCATG